AGGGATCAAACTGAGATATCCACTTGCTAGGCAAGTATGCTACCACTCCTAAAGACATTTTTATTAATTTATATTTTTGGTGGTTCTGTGGGTTAAACCTAGGACCTTGTGCATGTGAGGCAAGCACTCTACCAATTGAGCTATATCTCCAGCCCTCTAAATACATTTTTAACTTAAGATATTTTCAACTTATATGACAGGTTTGTGAGGATGTAACACCATTATCAGTTGAGAGGCATCTGTAAACATCTTATAGAAACCCTAACAGAGGACAAATTTAAATTATAGGTGACTACTAACTTGAACAAAATATTTAAAATTTCAAAACAAGTTATGTTATGTTAGCAACATCATCAATAGATTTACATTCCTTATAATGTTGGCATGTCTTTTTTTTTGGTGGTGCATTCGAGGCAAACACTCTACCAATTGAGCTATATCCCCATCCCCCTGGGCATGTCTTAATACACAGAAAAAGCAAGGTGGATATTGATGAGTTATACACTCTATAACCATTTCAGTCATGGGACTGAAATTTGAAAGCTAGGCTTTCCTATGTACCATGTACCATGTGTCTAGGATTATCAGAAATTTATGATGTCTTGGGGCTCGGGATATATCTCAGTTGGTAAAGTGCTTGTCTCATATGCACAAGGCCCTGGGTTCAATCCCCAGCACCACAAAAAAAAAAAAAAAAGAAGAAGAAAAGAAATTAACGATGTCCCTAGTGGGAAGGTAACATGTTCAGATTGACAAGGTTCAAAACATGTTAGTCTAAAATAAGGTGTCTCAGCAAATTGAATAGTTTAAGATGAAGGAATCTGAGAAACAGCAGGTGTAGGAAATTCTCTCTGACCTTCTCCTTATAAGACATTCATTCAAGACATGCCCTCATGATACCTGGATGAAAAGATCATCATTATCTCCAAAGGCAGACAAAGGTCTAGCTAAGTTTCCTACTTTGTCCTATCACATTTTCCCATGGCTTTCCATTCCTTATCAAACCTAATATGAAAGCACTTGGGTTTAATCATTTCTTCAAATCTTTATTTCTTTATGAAGGTTCCCATGGCACATAAAATTTGGGTGGGGTGCAGCTCAGGGGTAGAGTACTTGCCTAGCCTGTAGAAGGCCCTAAATTGAATCCCCACAGCACTGCCTAAAAAACTAAACAAAAAACTGTGTAAATGTCACATAAAACTCATGTTAAATAAAGGTGTCCTTTTCTCTTGCTATTGTTTTTGTTAAAAGAAGGGCCTCAACTGAGAACCTAGAAGGGTAGATGGAAAAATAACTTTTTCTTCCTTTACAAGATCCTATAAGTCTCATAAGCTATGACCTGTTTTCCATTAGCTTGGGCCTCTTTACTCTTAGAGATCTTCCTTTAGGCTTTAAAATCTTGTTATCTATATTTTGGCATTTGTACAATATTTCCCTCATCTTGCTTTATTGTGAGCTGAAGTACGGCTAACCACATCTACCTCAATATAATGCAGAATAGTAGCTCTTGAGGTCCTTCTTAGCTCTCACCTCCTTGACACAATGATCTCTTGAAGACTTCTGAATCACAGCTAGTGACACAGCTAGTGACAATACCACCACAAACTCCCCTAACTCCAAGGACTTCAACAGCTTTGAGTCAGAACAAAGTTGTATGTGTTTGAGTTAATGTGTTCACATCCAACCATTTTCAAAGATTGGTATATTCTAAATTTTCTGGAAAACTAATTATAGTTATGCATTATATAATGATATTTTTGTCAATGATGAACCACATACAGGATGGACTATAATGGTAAGCTATCCCCATCATTAAGTGATGTGTGACTTATAAAAATTTGCCACTTACACTGCTTTCCTTTTCTTTTTGTTTTTAACTGAATCTTTGTGTTTGTCCAAATAAATATTTGTTTTTCTAGGATTTAAAGTATGCAAGTTTTTCTGGCCATGAAAAAAAAATTTTTGGAGGGGGTACGTGGATTGAACCCAGGGGCACTTAACTGTTGAACAACATCACCAGCCCTTTTAAAATTTTATTTAGAGACAGGTCTCACTGAGTTGCTAAATGCCTTGTTAAGTTGCTGAGGCTGGCTTTGAACTCACGATCCTCCTGCCTCAGCCTCCCTAGTCCCTGGGATTATAGGTGTGCACCACTGCACCTGGCACTGGCCATGAAAATATTAAGATTATAAGTAACACAGAAAAGAAGGGAAAAATCTAAGAGCCATATAAGTACGTCTGGAAATTCTATAGCCTGTGGAAGACTAATAACTTATATAATCTTTCACATACTAGCACATTCATAATGAAGATAAACACCTAGGATTTTATTTATATATATATATATATATATATATATATATATATATATATATATATACTTACTTATTTTTCAGGTACCAGGGATTGAACTCAGGGGTACTCATCAACGAGCCACATCCCCAGCCCTATTTTGAATTTTATTTAGAGATAGGATCTCACTGAGTTGCTGAGGTTGGCTTTGAACTCTCAATTCTCCTATCTCAGCCTCCTGAGCTACTGGATTATTGGCATGTGTCACCAGCTAGCATATATTAAAGATGGGCAATTAGAATACAAACAATTGCTGAGACAGAAATATTCTTAAAGATTTTCTTTCTTACACAACACTAGTCTATTAAAATCCTACGAATATGCAAATATTTATTACCTATACTTCCAATTCTTTTAGGGAAAAAAATGCTAGAAAGAGAAAATGGAGATTGATGAAATCTTAAAATATCTTTATAGAAAATGCTTTGTAGAAAATACTTAGAAACCTACAAATCTTGTATTAGGCCTATTAACTAAAAGTACACAACTAGTATTTAATTGCTATCCAGAGAATATACTTAATTCATTTATAAAAATCTAAATTAGATATTGCATACAATTTCCCTATTATTAAATTTCCCTACTGCTAATTTGGGCCAGTGAGAATAAGACTCATCAGACTTGTTTAAAGGTGTTTTGTTCTAGAAGGGAATGCTGAAAAACAAGAAGAAAACACTGAAAGACAGAAGTGAGAAATTTATAAACCTTTTAAAGAGGGAGTCAACTATACCCAAAATAAATCTAAAAATTCTGGTCTGAAAGATTAGTACTGGAAAAAAAATTTTCTAAAAAGTTTGTAACTTTCCATACTAAAAAGCAGTATCCTGTGCACGTTTCATTGTCTTTTAAGAGAAAAGATCTCTTTCTTTCTTTTTGGTACTAGGGATTGAACCCAGAGGTGTTCACTGAGCCCCATTCCACAGCCCTAATATTTTTTATTTTGAGACAGGGTGTCATTAAGTTGCTTAAGCTGGTCTCAATCTTAGAATTCTCCTGCCTTAGCTTCTGGAGCTGCTGGGATATCATGCCTGACAAAAAAGATCTACAATGTGCTAAACAAACTTGGAGGTAAATGAACAGTGTGACTATCTTAAGCATTGCAATCAGTCACCTTCAGAAGTATCAAAAAAACTTCACGATAAAATTTGCATTTTTTTGTGTTGTATGATGTTTCAGTGTATTTGAAAAATTGAAAGCATTTCAGATGTTTTAGTATCTGTTTCATAGAAAGTATAATTCTTAATTTTAATAAATTTTATAGAATAAAAAGTTAAGAAAATGCAGCATATCTCAGGCAAAATAAATCACTCAAATTAAGGCACTCAAAGCTATCAAATATTCCCAAGTAAACAAATTATTCCATAGCTTTAGTTTTAGATTCACAGATACGCTGACATTTTTCGACAAAAATAAACACCAACAGCTATATTACATATATTTAGACAGATCTTCCAAAGTTTAAGTAAAATTTTCTCTCATAAAGTGAGAATACCACCTACTGCAGTGGCACACACTATAATATCTCAGCAATTTGGGAGGCTGAGGCAGGAGGATCAAGTTCAAGGCCAGCCTCAGCAATTTAGCAACACACTGTCACAAAGTTAAAAAAGGCTCAGTGGTAAAGCACTCCTGAATTCAATTCCAAGTATATTAAAAAAAAAAAATAAACAAAAATATAAAGAAGAACACCTTTTTCAAGGAAGATGAAGCTATTGAACAGTTAAATAAAGAAATAATGAATAAAGGTTATTTTTTGGGGTACTGGGGATTGAATTCAGGGGTACTCAACAACTGAGCCACATCCCCAGCCTATTCTCTATGTTATTTACAGACAGGGTCTCACTAAGTTGCTTAGCACCTTACCATTGCGGAGGCTGGCTTTGAAATAGTGATCTTCGGGGTTGGGGATATAGCTCAGTTGGCAGACTGCTTGCCTTGAATGCACAAGGCCCTGGGTTCAATCCCCAGCATCACACACACACAAAAAAACATGAAATAGCGATCCTCCTGCCTCAACCTCCAGAGCCGCTGGAATTACATGCATATGCCACCATGTCCTGCTTGAGCAAATGTTCTTAATAGCTACTATATAGATTACCAAATTAAATTCATAATGTAAAAAGAATATGCTAATTTTTACATTGAAAGTAATTACAAAAAAATTTTATGGATTGAATTAAAAGATTGGATTCTTTTTAAGAATTGGTAAAGATAATCTATAGTAAATATTGTTATTTCATTAGTAAGAGACATTTTGTAACACAAACTTCTTCTCAGCCAAAACTCACTTTTTATGAACAAGGTTCTATGAGTGGTGCATTATTATTTGTGAAAGACTGGATCAGGAAATGATGAATCTACTTTTTCTCATCTCTAAAAACCAAGATTCAATATGCATGCAAGACAAAATGCTAAAAGAGAGAATGGAATTTTTATGTGTGTTTGTGGTGCTGGGGATTGAACCCAGGGCCTTGTGCATGTCAGGTAAGCCCTCTATCAACTGAGCTATATCCCCAGCCCAAATGGAATTAAAAAAAAAAAAAATTAACCTTGATATTTATTTGGATACAATTTTAGAAATTAGGAAATGAAATAACAAAGTATGATATATATGCCACTGGTTAAAGTAATGAAGAAACTTAACTCACCATTTTTTAGGTTTTGATAATGGTTTGTATTTGTTGTATTTTACACGCCATTCAAGAACTTCTTTACAGCGCTGACATACTCCATCGTGAAGTTTTTGGTTAATTTTCTTAAAAACAAACAGAAAAACAAATTAAAAATTTCACACATGAGTATAGCAAACCCCTTAAAAAGGTATGAGAGAAATTTACTTTTTTTTTAAATATATTTTTTTAGTTGTAGATGGACACAATATCTTTATTTATTTTTATGTGGTACTGAGAATTAAACTCAGTGTCTCATACATGTGAGGCAAGTGTTCCACCACTGAGGTACGCCCCCAGTCTGAGAAGTTTACTTTTTAAAAATATTTTTAGTTGTAGATGAACACAATACCTTTATTTTGTTTATTTATTTATTTAAATGTGGTGCTGGGGATCGAACCCAGGGCCTCATGCATGCTAGGCAAGCACTCTGCCACTGAGACACAACCCTAGCCTGATAAGTTTATATTTTTTAAAAAACAATAATCTAACTTTAATCTGTATAACATTCTATGACATATTACATATTTTATGTATATTATCCTCTGATTCTTTAAAAGGTAATTGTTCTTAACTGGGTTTAGCTCAGAATCATCTAGAAAACTTTTCAATTTTCTGATGAGTATTTTGAGAAAGGTTTCCTGTTGACCAGATGTACATCATATCCTGATGGGTCAAAATTCATACTGTATAGTTAAGACATATGTATTTTAGTATATGTTAATTATACCTCAAAAATGCAAAAATTAAAAAAGAAAACATAGCTCATATTATTTCAACAATTCAAATATAATCAGTACGTTGGAATTAAACTGAGGAATCCATTCTGAATTATCTTTTTTTTCAGTCTCTAGGGTTCCAACCCAGGACCTGGGACATGTTAGGCAAGTGTTACCTAGCTGCACCTCCAGCCTGGGAATATGAAAAAAAAAAAAGGGGGGGGGGAAGAAGGCTGGAAACAAGGCAGCATTTCATTACTCAGCCCTTCTGCATTCTTACATAAGGAAAAAATATTTTCAAAAAGTTCTTCTTGAGGCTGGTTGTGGTGGTGCACATCTGTAATCCCAGTGGTTTAGGAGATTGAAGCAGGAGGATCTTGAGTTCAAAGCGAGCCTCAGAATAATCGAGGTGCTAAGCAACTCAGTGAAAGCCTATCTCTAAATAAAATATAGAATAGGGCTAGGGATGTGGCTTGGTGGTTGAGTACCTGAGTTCAATCCCCAGTAAACCAAAAAATGGGCTGGGGATGTGACTCAGTGGTTAAGTGCCTCTGAGATCAGTCCCTAGTACCAAAAAAAAAAAAAAAAAAAAAAAAAAAAAGAAAAAAAAAAAAAAAACAAAAAAAACCCAAAAAACAAAAAAAAGTTTCTCCTGGCTTTACCAAAATAGGGGGGGAAAAAAAACAACTGTATGTGTAAATAGCTTGGTGAGAAAGGAGCTTTATAAGGAAAGAAAACATTTTAAATTATGATTTCCATCTCAAAATATGGTGGGGTAGAAATGTGATATATAGTAAAATTTTAAATGTATCATACCATTTCTGTAACAGATTCAGAATCTAAACTATATATTTTCAAAGTACTCTTGAAAATTTTCTGATCTCTTTGGCTGAGGAACATTGTCTTTGCCTATTACTGAACTTATGAATAGAAGGCATTTTAAATCTTTTCTTTTTTACTCCCTTTGTTCTTTTTTAGATTTCTCAAGGGGAGAGAAACATATTGCAAAGATGCCAATTCTTTGAAAGGATATTTGATAGAGTTAAAAGCACAGTGTTTAGACTAGATCATCTGAAGGAAAACAAAACTTTTGAGAAGTGCTTGATATTCTTGAAAGCTCTGAACAAGATGGCAAAAATAATTGTACAAAACATTTATTCAAAGAGAAAATATTTCAAGGATATTTTCAAAATCCATAAATTAAGCTGTGAATACATTATGTTTAACTCTGGTGAAAAACATATTGTTACTATCATTATGTATGGGTATATCCCTTTCCTCCTGACTTTATGTAGAGTTCCCAGGAATGTCAGCTCTGTATCTCACTATATTGGTTCCATAGTGTGGTACACTGGTTTCAGAAAGAAGGACAGCTATGCCCACAGGCCAAACTCCTCTTTCTCCCAATCTTGGTCCTCAGTGATCATGTACAAGCTAATTAAGAAATATGCAGAACTAGGGGACTAGGGATATGTTCAGTTGGTAGAGTGCTTGCCTTGCATGCACAGGGCCCTGGGTTTAATCCCTAGCACCACCAAAAAGAAGAAAAGAAAAAAAGAAATATGCAGAACTAAAGTTCGCATTTCATCATTTGTTCTCACTGCCTTCTGTTGCCTAGAATATCTTACTAAAAACATTACTTGTATTTTCTTAACTCCAATAATAATAGGAACAAGTTAATGACCTTGAACTATAATTACAATAAGAATATGATATAAACTTTCTAACTGGAATTTTCTTAGAATTAAAAACATTTTATGACCTGCAATTTTACTACACATAGCACGCTCAGCTTGTTAACTGCCATGTTAACCAGGAAGTATTATTTGGCTTTTTGTTTGCTTCTGTATCCAATTTCTGACCAGTTCATCTTGATTTACAAAGCTGTGCATAGTTTGGAAACTGGTTTCTTCAGGGTGGATTGACAGTAGAACAAAAGAGGTCTTTGTGGGAACTTGTCCTGAGAGTGATGTGTGAAGCAGTATAAACGGAGATGTTGTACAGCATTCACATGACCAACTGGCCATAAGACAAAATTAAAGTTGATGTTTATGTGTCAAGAAATGAATGAGGGTGGGCTGGGGATGTATCTCAGTGGTAGAGAACTTTCCTAGGAAGTGTGAGGCCCGGGCTTCCATACCCAGTACCACACACATAGAAAGAAAGAAAAAACAAATGAAAGTAAAATGCAGAAAGAAAGATATACACCTTATTTTACCTTATTTTGGCAAACCAGAAGTGAATTCCAAAGGTGAGCAAAGAAAGCTAAATCCTGATTCTAGGAATTGTTCCATCTGGGGCAAAAGAGATGGCAGTCTTACTTCACTCACACTTAAGTGAATAACTAACCTGTTGGGAGCCACAGATGAATTGTGAGCTTGTCTGAGCCATCTCTAAGCGGAGGTGTGCCCCTCAAAGAACTCTCTGTGCCATCTCACCAATCTGAGACCACTCCGTTGCCTTGGCAACGTCCTGCTCATAGAGAATTCTGTGATACTGCAGAATTCTGTGATATTGTTCAGACAGCTCCAGGTTCAAGGAGGTAGAAAGAGATATCTGTGCACCCATATAGTCTTGAGGTGCCAGCTGCCTGGAGGAGGAGGAATTACTGCGAAGGTGATAAGGCTCCATTCAGGCCAACTTCACCATAACCTCCTGCTTCTCTCTCATTTACCTTTAAGAACCCTTCCTCATAATAAATCCCTTTGATGTGTTCCCCTATAAATAAAGCATGCAGACCCTCACTCTTTGTTAGAGACAGGACTCATTAGGTCCAATTTTCCCACCAGGACCCCGCTGTGAAACTACTTTCCTGAGTCTTTTATTTCTTATTAATTGTTTCAGACTTTTAATTTCTTAGCTGGCTCATACCTCTGTGCAGTTAACTAACTGATCCCTTGTTGTGCAGGACACAGCGACACCAACCCTCTTTTGGCAATTAATTTGAGATACCACTCAAGATGGGAGATCACAGGTTATTAAGGTCAGACTTAAGTATGCCCAAATATAAAATGAAAACAGTTTTGCAAATATAAAAGCCTTTAAAAGCTAGACATGGTGGCTTATGCCTGTAATTCCAGCAACTCAGGATGCTGAGATAGGAGGATCAACTTCTAGGCCAGCCTAGAAATTGATCCTCCTACCTCAGGAGACCCTGTTTCAAAACAAAAAACAAAAAGGGCTGGTAGCTCAGTGGTAAAGTGGCCCTGAGTTCAAGTCCCTATCACTAAAGAAAAAAAAAAAAAAACTTCTTTGGAAAATTTCACTGAATGAACACTTTTTAAAAAGTTAAATACTTACCTAACATATACATAATATCTAAAAATTGTCTTAGCCATCATTAGCTTACATATTTTAGAGTAAGTGGTATTATCCTTGTTATAAGCATTCTGTTA